TGTGTGTGTGTGTGTGTCCCGTGGCGGCCATCTTGAATGTGTGTCCCCATGGCGGCCATCTTGTATATGTGTTCCCCCCCATGGCGGCCATCTTGTATATGTGTCCCCCCCCACGGCGGCCATCTTGTATATGTGTTCCCCCCCACAGCAGCCATCTTGTATACGCGTCCCCCCCCCGGCGGCCATCTTGTCCCCCTCACCTTCTTGCTCTGCTGCTCCTTAGTGGACTGCTGACTCAGGAGGCTCTCGATCTCCAGGTCCACGTCCGACGCCATCTTGCGCGCTCTCTTCACCCCCTCCTTCCCTTCCCCTCCTCCTCCTCCTTCCCCCATCGTCGCCGTGGCAACGCCGCCATCTTGCTCCGCCTTCCTCCTCCTCCCCCCCGCCGCCGCCGGCGGTGACGTCATCATCATGGCGCTCAGCTTGGAGCGGTCGGCGTAGGTCACCACCATGATGGGGGCGGAGCCGGAAATGACGTCATCGGTGGGCGGGGCTAAGAGCCCCCGGCGCACCTCGATGAGCTCCTGGGCCGCAAACTTCTGCAGGAGGCTCTCAACGGCGTGCCGGGGCGGGGGCGGGGCCGTGACGTCATCCTGTGGGCGGGGCAATGGGAGGTCATCAGGCCACGCCCCCCTTTGAGGGAATGGCGGCATCCTATGGGGACCAATAGAACCCCATCTATGGAGGTGATGTCATCCTATAGGGACGAATAAACCCCATCTATGGAGATGATGTCATCATACATTAACCACGCCCCCCCCATAGACCCCTTCTATAGCTGCCTATAAGACAGGAAGGCAGGAAGTGGTGACCCCAAGATGGCCGCCGCGGCAGGAAGTGACGTCACTCACGGCGGCCATGACGCGGCAGAGGGCCTCGGCGTCGGCCGGCAGCGGGAGGGGGGGGTCGGCGAGGAGGAGGAGGAGGCGGCGCTCGAGGGCGGGGTCGCAGGCGGTGACGTCATCGGGGGCAGGGCGGCGCGAGGATGACGTCAGCGATGACGTCACTGAGGAGGAGGAGGAGGGAGGGGGGGAGGAGGAGGAGGGAGGTGGAGGGGCCGGGCTGGAGGTGCGAGGGGGGGTGGGGTCTGGGGGGAAGACGGGGAGGGGCTCATTAATAGGGGTTAATGAACACCCTCATTAAGCCAGGACCCCCCATTGAGGGCATTTAAGCCTCATTAAGGGCCATTAAGCCCCTAATTAAAGCCATTAACCCCCTTAACCCCCCTAATTAACCTTATTGACATTAAACCCCATTAATGGCTATAAACCCTGTAATTAAAACCACTAACCCCCTTAACCCCCCAATTAACCGTATTAATTGCCATTAAACCCCATTAATGGCTATAAACCCCCTAATTAATCCTATTCAGTGCCATTAACCCCCATAATTATCCTTATCAATTGCCAGTAGCCCTAATTAATGGCCATTAACCTCCTAATTAACCCTCATTAATCCCATTTACCCCATTAAACCCCTTAATTAACCCCATTAACCCCATTAATTCCCCCATTCCCCCTCATTACCCCATTAATTACCCCCTTTACCCCTCATTAACCACATTAATTACCCCATTCCCCCTCATTAACCCCATTAATTGCCCCATTCCCCCTCATTAACCCCATTAATTGCCCCATTCCCCCTCATTAACCCCATTAATTCCCCATTCCCCCTCATTAACCCCATTAATTGCCCCATTCCCCCTCATTAACCCCCTTAATTCCCCCATTCCCCCTCATTAACCCCATTAATTCCCCCATTCCCCCTCGTTAACCCCATTAATTACCCCATTCCCCCTCATTAACCCCATTAATTGCCCCATTCCCCCTCATTAACCCCATTAATTCCCCCATTCCCCCTCATTAACCCCATTAATTCCCCATTCCCCCTCATTAACCCACTTAATTCCCCATTCCCCCTCATTAACCCACTTAATTCCCCATTCCCCCTCATTAACCCCATTAATTCCCCCATTCCCCCTCATGAACCCCATTAATTCCCCATTCCCCCTCATTAACCCCATTAATTGCACCATTCCCCCTCATTAACGCCATTAATTACCCCCTTACCCTCATTAACCCCCTTAATTCCCCCATTCCCCCATTAATTAACCCCTTACCCCTCATTAACCCCTTATTTACCCCCTTTCCCCTCATTAACCCCCCCCCGTTAATCACCCAGCGGGTCCTGCTTCCTCCGCCGCTGCAGCCGCTCCCGGAGCGAATCCAGCTGCTTCTTATGGGCCTGGATGGAGCTCCACGTGTCCGACATGGCGCCGGTAACGGGATCAACGGGATCCGGCACCGGGATCAACGGGATCGGGCCTCTGCGATCCCGGGATGCGGCCTAACCGGGGTAGGCCCCGCCGCCTTCCCCTCACGGAGCCGGAAGCGGAAGTGACCGCTGGGGAAGGCGGATCGTCATGGCAACGGGCCGCCATCTTGAGAGCTGGCAGCGCCTCAGTAACGGCAGCCGCCATCTTGTGGGCTGGCGCTTATCGTCATGGCAACGACCGCCATTTTGGAAGCTGGCGCTTATCGTCATGGCAGCGGTCGCCATCTTTAGAGAGGGTACAGCCGCTTTACGCCGTCTCTTTCGCGACAGCCGCCATCTTGAGGGCTGGCGCGTATCGCCATGGCAACGGCCGCGCTCCCCTATCTCCATAGCGACCGCCGCCATCTTGAATGTTATCGCCTGTCTCCATACCAACCGCCGCCATCTTGAATGCTATCTAGAGCTCCATAGCGACCGCCGCCATCTTGAATGCTGCCTAGATCTCTATAGCGACCGCCGCCATCTTGAATGTTATCCACTATCTCCATAGCGACCGCCGCCGTCTTGAATGCTACATAGATCTCCATAGCGACCGCCGCCATCTTGAATGTTATCCCCCATCTCCATAGCGACCGCCGCCATCTTGAATGCTACCTAGATCTCCATAGCGACCGCCGCCATCTTGAATGTTATCCACTATCTCCATGGCAACCGCCGCCATCTTGCGCATCGTCTCCGTGGCAACGGCCGCCATTTTGTCCCCTGAGAAGCCCCCCCACCCCCAAAATAAGCCCAGAGGGGGGGGGAGGGGCTGTTTAATGGCTTTAATGGCCTAATCTATGGTTATGGGGGTGGGGGATGGGGTGCAGGGGGGGTCTCCATCACCCCCCATTGTCCTACTGGTCCCCTTCCACATCCATGGGGGGGTCCTGCTCCATTGGGGCCTGTGGGGAGAGGAGGGGGGGGTCAGTGCTGCTGTGCCTCAGTTTCCCCCCATTGCCCCCCCTTTTCCCTTTATTCCCAAGGGATTTTCCCCAAATTTCACCATTTTCCCAGTTTTTTCCCCAATTTCCACCCAAATTCCTTCATTTTCCCCACAATTTTCCCGAAATTCCCTCCATTTCCCCACAATTTCCCCAATTTCCCTTAGATTTCCACCCGAATTTCCCCCCAATTTTCCCCAAAATCCCACCCATATTTCCCCCAAATTTCCCCCAAACTCCACTCGAATCCCATCCAAATTTCCCCCAATTTTCCCCAAATTTCCCCCAAATCCCACCCATATTTCCCCCAAATACCACTCAAAACCCACCCAAATTTCCCCCAAATTCTACCCAAATTTCCCCAATTTTCCCCAAATCCACCCCAAATCCCCCAAATTTCCGATTTCCCCCAATTTCCCCCAATTCCCACCCAAATTTCCCCCAAATTCCACTCAAATCCCACCCAAATCCCCCAAATTTACCCCAATTTTTTCCCCCCAATCCCCCCCCACCCCCCTTCCCCTCCCCCATCCCCCTCTTACCTCCCCTTCCTCCTCCCTTCCTCCTCCTCCTCCTGGTGCCTCCTGCCCCTCCCCCCTCTCCGGGCCCAGAGGGGGGCAGGGGGCGGGGGGGGGCCCCCCCCACGGCTGCCATTGGGCTCCCATTGACGTCAATGGGGATGATGATGGGGGGGGGGAGGGGAGGAAGAGCGGCCATGATGGGGTGGGGGCAGGGCCCCCCTTGCACCCATTGGCCCCCGACAGCAGCCGCAGCTTGGGGAAGGCGGCGAGGGGGAGGGGGGGGCTCCCATTGGCTGGAATGGGGCTCCCATTGGGTTGAATGGGGCTCCCATTGGCTGGAATGGGGCTCCCATTGGGTTGAATGGGGCTCCCACTGGGTTGAATGGGGCTCCCGTTGGTTGGAATGGGGCTCCCATTGGGTTGAATGGGGCTCCCATTGGCTTGTTGGGTGCTCCCATTGACCTCATGGGTGCTCCCATTGACTTGATGGGTGCTCTCGTTGACTGGAATGGGGCTCCCGTTGACTTGAATGGGGTTCCCGTTGACTGGAATGGGGTTCCCATTGACTGGAATGGGGCTCCCATTGACTTGATGGGTGCCCCCATTGACTGGGGCTCCCCCATTGACCTCATGGGTGTTTGGGTTGACTTGATGGGTGCTCCCATTGACTTGTTGGGTGCTCCCATTGACCTGAATGGGGCTCCCATTGACCTGCTGGGTGCTCCCATTGACTTGCTGGGTGTCCATGTTGACCTGCTGGGTGCTCCCATTGACCTGTTGGGTGCTCCCATTGACTTGATGGGTGCTCCCATTGACTTGAATGGGGCTCCCATTGACTTGCTGGGTGCTCCCATTGACCTGCTGGCTGCTCCCATTGACTTGCTGGCTGTCCCCATTGCCTTGTTGCTTGCCCACGTTGCCCAGTTGGGTGCCCCCATGGCCATGGCCGGCCCCACCATGGTGCTGGGCACCCACCTTCACTTCCTGGGGGCCCCCATTGACCTCTTGAGCAGCCACAATGCCACGGTGAGGGGCCACGGTCACCTCTTGCTTGCCCCCATTGACTTGCTTGCCTCCATTGACCTGTTGGTTGCCCCCATTGACTTGGTTGCCCCCATTGAGTGGTTGGTTGCCCACACTGACATGTTGGTTGCCCCCGTTGATTAGGTTGCCTTCATTGAGCGGTTGGTTGCTCCTGTTGACTTGGTTGCCCCCATTGAGCGGTTGGTTGCCTCCATTGACTTGGTTGCCCCCATTGAGCAGTTGGTTGCCTCCATTGACTTGGTTGCCCCCATTGAGTGGCTGGTTGCCCCCATTGGCCTGTTGGTTGCTCCTATTGACTTGGTTGCTCCCATTGACTTGGTTGCCTCCATTGACGTGGTTGCTCCTATTGACTTGGTTGCCCCCACTGAGTGGCTGGTTGCCCCCATTGACTTGGTTGCCCCCATTGACTTGGTTGCCCCCGTTGAGTGATTGGTTGCTCCTGTTGACTTGGTTGCCCCCATGGAGTGATTGGTTGCTCCTGTTGACTTGGTTGCCCCCATGGAGTGGTTGGTTGCCCCCATTGACTTGGTTGCCCCCGTTGAGTGATTGGTTGCCCCCATTGACTTGGTTGCCCCCATTGAGTGATTGGTTGCCCCCATTGACTTGGTTGCCCCCATTGAGTGGCTGGGTGCTCCTATTGACTTGCTTGCCCCCATTGACTTGGTTGCCCCCATTGAGTGATTGGTTGCCCCCATTGACTTGGTTTCCCCCATTGAGTTGCTGGTCGCTCCCATTGACTTGGTTGCCCCCATGGAGTGGCTGGTTGCTCCTATTGACTTGGTTGCCCCTATTGAGTGATTGGTTGCCCACATTGACTTGCTTGCCCCCATTGACTTGGTTGCCCCCATTGAGCGGTTGGTTGCCCCCATTGAGTGGCTGGTTGCTCCTATTGACTTGCTTGGCCCCATTGACTTGCTTGCCCCCACTGAGCACTTGGTTGCCCCCATTCCCCTCCGCCCCCTTCCCCACCACCCCCCCCAGTCCCCCCCGCCCCCCGTGCTGCGCAGGCAGCGGCCCCAGCCCCACGAGCGTGGGGCGCTGTCGCTGACCCTTGCCAGCGGCGCGGGACGGGGCGCAGCGGCTGTGGGCTATGGGGCAGCGGTGGGGCAGGAAGGGGGCCTTGTGGGGCAGGGCGTGCAGGGTGCCCAGGAGGAGGAGCTGGCGGGAGATGTCCTCGGTGAGCTGGAGCTGGTGGAGCTGGCGCTGCTGCAGGACGCGGAGCTCCTCCAGGATCAAGGGCAGGTTCAATGGGGAGGGCAAGGGGTGGGGGGGGCTGTGGGGCGGGCGCTGTGGGTCCGAGTCCATGGTGGGGGGGGGAGCTGGGAGCATGGGGGGGGGGGAATGGGATGGGGGAGACAGGAAAGGAGGGGGGTTAGACCCAAAATTAGGGGGTTTAGGCCCAAAATCAGGGGGTTTAGACCCAAAATCAGGGGGTTTAGACCCAAAATTAGGGGGTTTAGACCCAAAATTAGGGGGTTTAGGCCCAAAATTAGGGGGGTTACCCCCCAAATTAAGGTTTCAACCCCAAAAAGCAGTTGTTTGACCCCGAAATTAGGTGGTTTAAGCCCAAAATTTAGGTGATTGAGACCCAAATTTAGGTGGTTTATACCCGAAATTAGGTGGTTTAGGCCCAAAAGTAGGGGGTTTAGGCCCAAAAGTAGAGGGTTTAGACCCAAAATTAAGGTTTCCACCCCAAAAAGCAGTTGTTTGACCCCGAAATTAGGTGGTTTAAGCCCAAAAGTAGGGGGTTTAGACCCAAAATTAGGGGGTTTAGGCCCAAAATTAGGGGGTTTAGGCCCAAAATCAGGGGGTTTAAGCCCAAAATTAGGGGGTTTAGACCCAAAATTAGGGGGTTTAGGCCCAAAATTAGGGGGGTTACCCCCCAAATTAAGGTTTCAACCCCAAAAAGCAGTTGTTTGACCCCGAAATTAGGTGGTTTAAGCCCAAAATTTAGGTGATTGAGACCCAAATTTAGGTGGTTTATACCCGAAATTAGGTGGTTTAGGCCCAAAAGTAGGGGGTTTAGGCCCAAAAGTAGAGGGTTTAGACCCAAAATTAAGGTTTCCACCCCAAAAAGCAGTTGTTTGACCCCGAAATTAGGTGGTTTAAGCCCAAAAGTAGGGGGTTTAGACCCAAAATTAGGGGGTTTAGGCCCAAAATTAGGGGGTTTAGGCCCAAAATCAGGGGGTTTAAGCCCAAAATTAGGGGGTTTAGACCCAAAATTAGGGGGTTTAGGCCCAAAATTAGGGGGGTTACCCCCCAAATTAAGGTTTCAACCCCAAAAAGCAGTTGTTTGACCCCGAAATTAGGTGGTTTAAGCCCAAAATTTAGGTGATTGAGACCCAAATTTAGGTGGTTTATACCCGAAATTAGGTGGTTTAGGCCCAAAAGTAGGGGGTTTAGGCCCAAAAGTAGAGGGTTTAGACCCAAAATTAAGGTTTCCACCCCAAAAAGCAGTTGTTTGACCCCGAAATTAGGTGGTTTAAGCCCAAAAGTAGGGGGTTTAGACCCAAAATTAGGGGGTTTAGGCCCAAAATTAGGGGGTTTAATCACAAAATCAGGGGGGTTACCCCCCAAATTAAGGTTTCAACTACAAAAAGCAGTTGTTTGACCCCGAAATTAGGTGGTTTAGGCCCAAAACTAGGGGGTTTAGGCCCAAAATCACCAAAACCACAATTACCCCCCCAAAAAACTGACATTTTCCGCTCCAAAATCACCTTTTCCCCCACAAAAACCACCATTAACCCCCAAAATCCCTGCTTTTGACCCCAAATCAACATCACCGCCCCCAAAGCACCACTAAGCCCCAAAATCACCTTTTTTCACCTCAAAAATCACCATTAACCCCCCAAAATCACAGTTTTCCCCCCAAAATCACCATTTTCCCCACAAAAAAGCATCGTTTCACAGCCAAATCAATATTACCCCCAAAAACAACGTTTCCCCCCCAAAATCCTCATTTTTCACCCCAAACGACATGTCCAGCCCCAAACTCCCCCTTTTTCACCCCAAAACGAACATCAACCCCCCAAAATCCCCATTTCCCCCCCAAAATCCACATTTCTCCACTCAAATCCCCATTTCCAGCCCCAAAATCCCCCTTTTTCACCCCAAAACGACCTTCCCCCCCCCAAAAGGGATGGATAAGGGGGGTCCCACCTCCAGGCTCAGCCATTCCTATGGGGGTCCCCTGGGTGCCCCCCCACCCACCCCATAGGAGGAAGAGGAGGGGACCAAGGCGGATGTAAAGGGGGGGGGGGAGCCCCCCCTATGATGACGTCATTAAGGGGAGGGGGAGTTTTGGGGCGAAAATGGGGGGAAAAGGGGTTTTGGTGGGGTCTAAAGGGGGTTTTGGGGTAAGAAACCTCTTTTTGGGAGATATAAACCCATTTCTGGGGTATTAAACTTGCAGTTTTTGGGTGAATAAGCTTCTTCTGGGGGTTTTAAATGAATTTTGGGGGCATTTATCCTTATTTTAGGTGTGTAGATCTTTATTTTAGGTTTATTCAGCGTTATTTTAGGGTGATTTGTCCTTATTTGAGGGTGATTTATCCTTGTTTTACTTATTTTAGGGGAATATCAACTTCTTTGGGGGCTTAAATACCGATTTGGGGGGAATTAGCCTCATTTTCGGGGGTTTCAACCCCTATTTTGGGGATAAAACCCCTATTCTGGGGATAAAAACCCTATTTTGGGAGGTTTAAATCCCTATTTTGGGGGTTTAAAACCCTTTTTTGGGGGTTAAAACCCCTATTTTGGGGTTAAAAACCCATTTTGGGGGGCTTAAATCCCTATTTTGGGGAGAAACCCCCTATTTTGGGGATAAAAACCCTATTTTGGGAGGTTTAAATCCCTATTTTGTAGGTTCAAATCCCTATTTTGGGGGTTTAAACCCCAATTTGGGGGGTTAAGAACCCTTTTGGGGTGGGATCA